TAAAAAAAAGTTTTGGTATAAGCTTTTATTCAGTCACATATTAAAGAAATAAAAATAATGTTAAAAATGTATTTAATATAAAGACGAGCTATGAAATGTAAGTTTTGCTTTATACTGAAATGGCCAATTTAGTTGAAGTTAGAAACATTCATATTGTTCTGGCAACTCTCGAGACTACAAACTACTTTTTTTTTTAATTTTATATTCCATTTGAAGTCATAACTTTACCGTAAACTTAAAGCGGGCTAAGTAGCGGGCAAAAGCTGCTAAACGATATTATTATAAGAAAATAGCTTAAATTAAGTAATAAAAAAATAAATCATTAAATTGGTCTATAATTTTGACACAGGGTGCACCTAAGAAAGGATTGTATCTGTGGATACCTTAGAAACATTAGAAATACGTATTTATACGCTTGTACTTGCATAACTGTATGCTGCTCAACCTGTTCACTTGCGCAAATGAAGCGTCAACCATTTCCATTTTGTCCGACATTTGCCTGGCGCATTTCCTGCCACATTGCAAAAGTATGCAATTTAAAGAAAACTTAGATATTGCGTGTGCATCGTCATAAACTCGTTTGAATACAACGCTTAATTCCTTCCAAAGCGTTTTATAAATACAAACTACACTTATAGTTTCCCATTTGCACAAGTTAAATAGTTCAAAGTACATACTTGCATAGATGAAAATTTATTACATATTTTATGTAGTGGTTGAGTTTCTTACTTCACCATGTTAGTGATTTTAGCTTAAGTGGCAATTGTTGTGAAAATACCATAAAGTTAATTAAATTAATTTATAATTAAGGTAAGTGGTTGCTAGATGCAAAAGTTATTTTTATTAAAATTGGTTTTGGAAATTTTTGTTTTTTGATGTAAGCAGGTTTACGGAAGTTTCGGAATTCTATATGTATGTAAGTCCATAAATTTACGCATAAATACTTATGTTTGTATGTAATAATGAATAAATTGCTTACAACAATAGAGAAGAACTAACGAAATCGGTTAACGTGGTCCAAAGTTTTGCGGTAACATACATAAAAAAAAAAAAATATTCCGACGAATTGATAGCCTTCTCGTTTGCATATTTTTCGGTCCGAAATTGTAAAATTTTTGTCCCTGACGCGCCACGATTTTTGTACAGGTGGGTCAATGTGCCTTGAACACCATTTGTATATATGCAAAAAAATAATTTTATTTATTTTTTAATATTAAAAATTTCTATACTTCAAAGCGTTTATAAAAATATATTTACATATATCCACGGATGATTTTTAATTTTTTTCATCCGTAAGCAAATCTTAAGTACCAGAAAAAGATTCAACCACATCAAAGTACAAGCAATGCGATGTCCAAGTTAGCGTAAGTCCACTGTACATGTCCATATGTATGTATGCCAAAGTTTAAATAAACATACTTATTATTATTATTGTGGCACAAATATGTAATTTTAATACTTGCATTATAGAAATCGACACAGTAGATCAAATGCTTTGCACTAACAAAAAATGTGGGCTTAAATTTTATGTATAGCATAGATAAAAATAGATTTTGTGCCAGTTGCACTAGAAATTTTCTGATTTTCTCGATTTTAGCAAGTAACCTGGTCATTTAAATCGTTAGTTTTGTTTTGAATAACTATTTAATGATAATTACACACATAAGTATTATTAACCCAGGCAGCTGCTCTGTGTGGCGGCAACAATACGCCAGTACGCAAAATGCCCCCGTCGCAAAAGATTTCCCCACATACATACAGCTTATATTTTTCATATTAATGCATTTTTTGAGAAATTGGTATTATTTTTATAGTTTCACTAAATTCAAATAAGTCTCGTTTAATTAAAACAGGTAATTTTTAAGCAAAAAACAAAACCGACTTCAATTCTCATATAAACATTTAAGATTATCGTTAATTTCTTCATGATCAGATGATCGGATTTAAACCAAATTAATAAAGTTATGCGGTAAGATAAATAAAAAAATATATATATGTTCCGACGAATTGATAATCATTCTCCTTTTGTGAAGTCGGTTAAAAACATAATTTCGTTGCACTGAAAAGGATGTTCTGCAAGCGATATTTGCTAAGGGAAAAAATTGAGGCTCTTTGAGATGAAATTGGAAGTTCACGAAAATGTATGTATTGGTCTGTATTCAATACAAGCGGTACCTGCTAAGATACACTTACATATGGGGAAATTCAGCGAAATTCCGACACCACTTAGCTTTGCATCTCCATTTTCTTATATTTTTCATGTTATAGTAGATACCATTTGATTTTTTTAATTTTTTTTGTACAGCCGTTTTTGAGGCATCGATTTTAAAAAAACACATTTTTTTAATTTTTTTAAATTGGCCGATTAAGACTATTTATTTTTTGAAATTTTTAATTTTCAAAGCACTTTTCGAAAATAAATCGAAAAATTTTCAAAACCGTATTTCTAACCCATTTTCAAATGTTTATTATAAAATCTGTATATCCAAAAATTAGCGTTTGAACGATTTTCTTGAAAATTTTTTCTAAAAACTGACGCTTCTTCCAAAACTTTTAAGCCTAATCCAATAATGGGGGAAGAACGAAATATTTTTTTTCGAATTAAAAAAAAATCAGATAATCGATAACACCGTGTTGTTGGGAAATCAACATTTTATATTAAAAATTTGTAAGTGTTATAGACAATTTTTTTATTTTGACATACAGTTTGGAAAATATTTTCGATTTGAATTCCAAAAATATTTTAAGATTGAAAAATTAAGAAAAAAAAAATGGCCCCACTCAGCGCAGGGTTTGCAAAGGTACGACACTTAAAAAAGGAACTTTTTTTTCCAAAAATCCATATCCCGAAAACGACTTGACAAATAAAAAAAAATTGAAATAAATAAAGGGTACTATGGCATAAAAACTTATACAAAACTCGGAGATACAAAGGCCAAATGGTGTCCGATTTTGGCTGGAATGCCTCATATACAGTGGCACAGAGAATGTTTCACAATGCATTACAAATTTTTACTGACATTTTTTCACCTATTTTTTTATAAAAATATAGTTTATACTAAATACAACAACCAAAACCATAAAAATAAAATTCCTAAACTTTGTGCAAAAAACGAAAATTTTAAAAATTGCATTGATTTTGATAATTTGCCATACCAAAAAAAAAAAAATTACCAAACATACTTCGCATGGAAGAAACTGCATGATACTTCAAACTTGCACTTGTAGTTAAATTTAATGTGCATTTGCAAACATGCAAAATTCTGCCTTTTGCGCTAAACTTACAAATTTTGTTTTATATTTTTTGTAGTAGTATAAACTATATTTTTATAAAAACTTAAAGGGAAGAATTACATTGTGAAAAATCCTCTGTGCCAATATTTTTTTCTGGCAGGTACATGTATGTGTACATAATCGAGTATCTACCCCCGCAGCGTTTATCCACCAGAGTTGTAAACACATAGATCTGTGAAGGATACACATAAATCAGTCGTTTAATAAAGTTCAAAATGAAAGGTAAGCAAAAAATCAAAATGAGTAAAATTGAAACTGGAAAGCGGCCGCTTTGGTAACGGTACATGGAAGCTCATTTTTCTCATTACTTTACAAAAGTTTACCTGGACTAGCCATAGCAAAGCATGGCGGCATTGGTATTTTTCATTTGTTTCATTGTACACTTTTGCATGTCAACTCATTTAAGCACATTTTCTGCTTACCTTCGCATGTTGTTACGCGAGTGATTTTGCTATGAGTGCGTACATACATACACACATATACATATGTATATCCATGTATAAAGCAGGTGCACAAATCCGGATTAAATTCAGTTGCGCTCTGCTGTGCATGCCATAGGAAGGAACTGTTGAGCGGGAGGGTTGCCAGCAAGGCCACCACTTGCATCATATGTAGCCCTGTGCGTCTGCGTATGTATGTATGAAAGTAAATATTGATGTTTTTCTGCATGCAGGAATTAAATTCGTCGTAAGCGAATACTTGGCACAGACAACTTATTACTTTCGGCTTATTCGTTGTATGACTTATTTATGAAATTCTTGCGAGAATGATCAATTTCTTAACATGTTCATCTACATGATTCAAAAAATACTATCGTGCTCTTGATGAAATTTGGTTTTAATATTCATTTTAACCAACATAAATCTCAAGATGGTCCTAATTTGCCCACGCTAGTTTACGTAGGTTTTATTATCATTTTTATCCCTTCGATCGTGTTCTACATAACAGCCAATACATATTTTTCCCGCATCAGCCTATCGGTAACCAAGTTTCAAAAGAGACGCCATTGATTAAAACTCTTATTTTCTTATATGAAGCATTTTCCCTCTTTAATTATGTTTAAGTTTTGTCGGAACAAAAAAACTTTAAATACAAATATTACATATTTCTCATTCCATACAATCATGTGTACTAAATATAACTGTAAAAGTTTGTGAGCGAGTGAGATAGTAAGGAAGTGTATGAATATGTTTGTTGCTCCCGCACGCTAGAACGGCTGAACAGATTTTTAATGAAATTTTGAAAATAGATACATATGTAGGTTATAGCCTAAGATATATCTTGAAGAGAGTTGCCACTTTTCGCAAATATGAACATCAATCAATTAATAAGTCGATTAAAATACTAAACAATGTAAGTGTCGAACAAAAGGAGCTTCAAAACGACTTATTTAGTAAATACCTTTCTTTAAAGGAGGTTGCCACCTATAAAAATGTTAAAAGTGGTGACTAAGTTAAGCAGACATCACAAAAATGTGTGTATGAAACGAAAGCTGTTCAAGATTTCTTACGAAAATATTCTTTAGGAAGGTTGCCTCCTGTTCTAAATCTAAAATCACTTTAATTAATTAGTCGAACTAATTGAATGGAAGGGGTTTAGTAGGCGGCATACACGGTGCGTCTGACTTCCGAGTCGGTTTGGATGTGTTAGTCAAAATAAATATTTGTTCGTTACACCGACATGACTCCGGCATGACTCTGAATCACTCAAATGTGTGTAGTCGGAAGACGAGTCAACACGTACACAGATGACTCGCGAGTCAGACGCACCGTTTATGGAGCCTTTAAGAAAGTTTTACTTCAAAAATACTTATAAAGGAGGCTTTGTTCAGAAAATATTTTTAAATAGGGTTGTCACCGGTAAAAGTCAATTTAAATTCAATCAATAGGTTAAATGAAACATTACAAAATGATGCCAAGTCCAACAAAATATGGTGACGAAAGCTTTATTTCGAAAATATTTTTTTAAAGGCTTATTTCGGTGAAATAATTTATTTCCTTTTTTGGTTACATTTGTAATCGTAACGTAAAACCGAACCTCACGGGGACGGAGCTATTATTCCAAATTCTTCGGCTCCATCGTAAAAAAATTTCACCTTCATTACCAACAATACGCCTATACTTCATTTTCACCGACAGTAGGTATACATATGTATACATATGAAAGTGTGTAAATACTAAGTGTGTACACTGATCTAGGCAAATTTAATGAGAAAAAGAAAAGTGTTCTACATATTGTAGCATTTCTGCTACTTCTGCCAGATTATGCGTTACTTAATTTTGGTTAGTTCCAGTCAACAAATGTCTACTTCAACACAATGGCCAAGAGCTCATTTAACATCATTAATTGCCAATAAAGTTCACAATTTGTTACACTTAATACCCAACATAGTAGTTGGATACGTTTGCGCTCATCTGTGTACCCGCAGATACTCCTGTCTATGCTTAAAAGAAAATTCGTAAGCAGAGCTGCGGTCATCACTGCGTATACGTAATTTGTTATGGAGGTACTAAAAATGTGTGATGAGGAAGAAGAAACTGTATATAAATATGTATATACATGTGTATTTGTATGGTACAATAAATACAAAATGAGTAAACTAAATATTTTTTGCAGAAGGCAAGCGCTTAGCAGGCAAATTTTGAATGTGTAGATCAAATATTCTGAGATGGAACCTTAGGACTTGTGTCTCGAAAATTATTTTAGTCACAGGTTTCATTATCTAGGATTATGTAAAGAATCCCAGCTCCTTCACCAAAGATGATATGAACAAGGTAATCGTTTTCGAGAAGAAATTTAAAATAAAGCTCTCAAGGAGGGGCATGCCAGGCAAGAAACCTTATGATTAAAGGCCTTGAACAGATACAGGCTTCTAATTAATCTCCCTACAATTAATTGAGAATCATCACAGGCATCCTTACAAAGCCTTGCTGACAAAGGAGCTACCTAAATTAGCTACGAATCTGATCAAATGATCTCTGTCTGCCAAAGAGACACCATTGTACCTACTCTTTGAGTCTAGGTTGACCTCCTCCTTTTTTGGAAGTCGGTTAAAAATACACTCGATTTTCGAAATCAGAAGGCGATTCAACATGGGAAATGGATAGGGGCATGCGTGGAACAAAACAAATACAAATTTGTGATCCAGTGTTATTTTCCGATAAATCAGGCAAAAATGTGCGGACAGTATTGTACAGATTAGTGATGTTAATTTTTTTGCTTTTTACGATCCCGGGATTTTGGAGATGTCGTTATCACAATCCCGGGATTTAGATATTCATTACTTTTCAACAACCTAAATCGAAAGCAATTGCTTCTTCTATAGTGTTGGAGAAGTTCTCCTACCATAAAATAAATAATAAATAAATGAGTTTGAAACCTAATTTTTTATTTAAAGTGACGATTTTATTTTTCCTCTCTGATGTCAGGATTTATTTTAAATGACTTTGTAATTTCAAAGGTATGATTAATTCCAAAAGTTATTTAAAAATTCAATGCAATGTAGAATAAAAATATGAGTACCAAATCAAAAAGGAAATTTCTTTAGAATTAGAAAAAAAAAAATAAAATTTTTTGATTCTCAAGAACGAATAGGTAATTTTTTATGCTGATAAAGTTGGAAGGACGAAATTCGAGGATGTTATCGTTTTTATAACTCCTTAAAATATAATTTTTCCAAAAATAAATATTGCGAAATTTCAAGGATATAATTTTCAGGGGACATTTTCAATACTTACCCGCCGTTATGCATCAAAAACTTGAAACTGTTTAAGTTCTACAGAATTTTCCATTTAATCTGGTACCTATAATTTTTCTTTAAGCATATTTCACTGAATTTTTTTAACAATTTTTGAATAACTGACGTCAGAGTGAAAAACTAAAAACGCAATTTTACTATATTTGGCCCATGGTCTCGCGAATATATTGATTTTTGTGTGTAAAATTTACTATCGCTCGCTGTTATGTGTACATCGAGCTAGACATTTATAAAAAATATTAATCATTAAAAAAAAAAGAAATATAGCCAATACTGGTCAAGAAAAGGAGTTTCTATTATTGCCATCAGTGCAAATTACAAATCCCGAAAATCCCGGGATTATTTCCTAAGAATCCCGGGGTTTTAGGAAGCTGAAAAAGTTCGGGATCCCGGGATTAACACACCTAACAACAAGTCAAAGCAGCACCACAACACAAGCCTTAAGGCTTTTCTGCACTTAAGCTTACACTGGCCATTCCTATGTGCTTTTGCTCGCTGGCTTAACCTTCAAATGTCAACACTTTACCTCTGGGCTGAAAAACTTATTTGTGTAAACTTGTTAACGCCGGCTAAGAGCTGCTGCTTTGCTTGTTGCTGCTGATGCTGCAAATGATGATAAAATATTATTTTCTCATTATTATAATAGTAACTACTTACAATACATACATATACATATATATGTATACACTACCAGTATAATAGGAGCAACTATTTACGTTTTGTTGCTGTTGGTTTGTAAAGGAAAGAATTTACCGCTATTCGCTGCACACACCTCACCATTAGTATGGACATTAGCTATTGTTGTTATATAATTTTCCACTCGAACAACTAGTATGTATGTATGTATATTGAGCGGGCGTAGTGAAGAGCAATTCTAAAGGCGATGGAATTATGCTTGACCTTGCACTTTTCGCACAAACAATAAAAAAGAAGCCAACAATAACGGCCGCAGAATCACTTTGATTGCCAACAAAAACGCAGCGTTCAGTGGAGTGGGTTGGTGATGATGGCGGTGGTGTTTGCGAGCATTAAAAGTGTCATCGTCAGCGCTAATGCAAGTTTTGTTGTGGCACTTATTGCTTTGAATGTATAAGTACATACATATGCACTATCTACGTACATACTACATACATATGTACATTTCTATTGATAGTGTGTAAATATTTTCCTTTTATCCGCCAACCCACGCAACAGTTGACAGCGTAATCAGGCGATCGGGTTGATAGTTGACTTATGTAATTTTAATTTTTCATTTTCAAACATTTCATTATTCACCTCTTGAAAAGTAGGTCACGAGCGGCTTAAGCAGTGACTTTGAAATTTTGCTAAGTCGCAAGGACATGCCAAAAGCTTGTGAGGCCTTTTGTGCTCTGTAAATAACAAATTGCTTTTGGATGCATTAATTCAAAAAAAAAAAACACCTAAAATATAATTGTTCTCATTTTTGCTAAATTTTTGTTGATGCACGCCAACAAGCTGGCGTGGGTTTGTCTTCAATTATTAATGGCCATTGTATTCTAGAATGAGGTTTTACCTTTTTTACGAAGTGACAAAGATTTGTATATTTATATGAGCACAAGAAAATAGCAGCTTCCCCAATCCCAACTTCTGAGTTATTACGATTTTAATAGTTGAAGAATTCATATTCCGTAATGTGATAAATGCCGTATTGTGATATCGAATTTTTGGAGAATAATAGGAAAATAACTATTTATGTGGACCAAAGCGCATTACTTAGCCATGCGTAGTGTCTATAATCTGCGCATTTCCTATGTTCGCCAAAAATTAAATTTGTAAATACTAAATATTTAGAAATATTTCAATGTAACTAAGGTCGCCAGCAGCCATGTAAGCAAACACAAATTCATACATATGTTTGTACATTAGAGCGTACCACCTTACAAGCAAGCAAAAAAGTTCGAAAAAAATGGGTTTCGCCGAACCTAGGGGTCCTTTTTACCTTTTTCGGTCACACCACCTACATTCGGCAATAAAAAAGTTTTCAAATAGTAATTTTTGGAGAGCTTTAATTTACTGACATATGGGTGGTAAGTTAACTTTAAAACCTAGAAAGTAGCTCCTCGAGACAAGAACATCAATGTATCATACTGTAAATGCCAAAGATATGACGAAGAATGCGACCCCTAGGTTCAAAAAAAAATTTTAATTTTTTTCGAAGTTGCCGTGCAAAACAAACTTTCGAATCAGCGGTGTTCGGCGATTTTTTATTTTTTTTTTTGGAACGGTCTAATGTGCATATGTACATGTACACTCATATAAAATAATAGATTTTATTCATTGTTATACTACGTAAGCGTACCAGCTCCTATATTTACATACAAACTACATACCGCAACATTTATTATTCAACATTCAACACATAAAATTTGCTCTTAATTTCCATTTAAATGAATTGAATGACTCTTAATTCATGCCGTTTAGCCAATCTCTCGTTTATTCCATTTGCATTAGTAAGCAAATATAAATGCATACGCGTGTAAACGCTGTGAGGAAACGCACTAGTGCCGAATTGGTTCAGTACTGGAGAATTTAGAACAGCAACTGGCAAATTTTATATTCTGATTTCCTACGAAGTGTCAGTTGCCACTACTGCTTGCCTTTTTCGATAGTTCCGAACCATTTCTAAAATCTACAGACGAAAAAAGTTATATGATTTTTACAAAAAGAGTCTTTTTGGTTTTCACATGGTAGCGGTTTTAAATTATTTTCAAAGAATCGTGTGTTTTTTTTTTTAATTTGAAGTAAAATTTTTTTGAATGAATGCAATTCAAACTGAGCATTTGAAAACACGTTTACTACCTATGGCTGTAGACGTGGTTGTCGTTATTGATTGGATTCCAGATGGTCCCAAGATGTTTTGTATTACCAAAGTATGAAAAAGCATCCGCGAAGTGCAGAATGAAGCGTATTTGAATTAAAAAAAAGTCAAATAAATAGCTATTTAAAGTAAACAAACACTCCGTTGCATGTCTTTTTCTATAGTTCCGAACCAATTTGTCACGTT